GGAAAAAAGGGAAAGAGCTGTGACCTGACATAACCAGCATCTACTTCTTTCTCCTCAAATTATTTACCATGTGTGCAGTCAAACATGCAGATCTTGGATTAGCCTCGCAGTCATCTATGGATTCACTGATGACCTCTCTATTTACCGGAAGACTGTCATCCTCATATAGAGGGATTGCAAAGGATGGCTTTTAAGACCTCATGGTATCTTGAGCCTCCAGGGAATATACATCATGAGCTATTCACATTGGGAAAGCATTCACAGCTCCCAGAAATCCTACGTATGTTCATAAGATATCCACAGTTCATGCAGTCTGCTTTAAAGTAGTGAGCGATGTATTGTCAGCCTCAGCTCTCACTCAAAATGCATTATGTTCAGGTGTGGCCCTGTCCAGTGTAGAAAGATATTAACAAACTAGGACAGTTGAGAAAAGAGCAACTAATACACTATGAAAGCTAGGAGACTGTCCTTCTAAAGAGGACTGAATGCTAATTATTCACATCTGGGATCAGGATGTTTTGTAGGATATGGGATTATTTTCAAAAAGTATTAAGTGATTAAAGCAACAATATTTCAGCAATTTTTTCTGTCCAGCTCAGTGAGGCCAATAGGTTGAGTGAAAGCACTTCAAAGTACAATTTAGTTCACAGAGCTATGATTTATTTATGCTAGTACAAAAGGTCATAATTTGGGTAATAAAGTAAAATTTTAAAAGAATATTTTAGATAAGAATGTTATGAAACAAATAACACTGAGATATAGAATAATCTTCCGAAAAGAAGCGAATCTCTATTGCTTGGGTAGGATAGAATCTTAAAAATGTATTACAAGGAACTATATCTCAGATACAATGATGATGTAGATGATCCACCTGGACTTTTTCATTTCTGTGTCTGTGACTACAGATGTTTCATGTATTCAAAGATAGTCTTTACTTGCATCAGTCTAGGACTATTTGTGCACAATTTAACATAGGTTATTTTAATGAAGACAGAGTTTTAATTACGACAGAGTCCTTGTTCCCACTGGAGGGTATGGTGACATTTTCATTTAATTCAGCAGAAGCAGGTCCTTATACAATTTGGTGTTTCTGTGGGCCTAAAGAATTGTGTGAGAGAATTAAAACAATGCAAAAATCCTTTCTGAAGTCAGGTAACTGGAAATGAAAAACAGAACCAAACACTTCACCTGTGCAAATAGAAAATGAAGCTGCACAGAATCATTGTTTACTGCCAATACTTTATTTTCACACAGGTGAACTTTACTCTAAAAGGGAAAGCTGACTCGATCAAGTTGCTTTTGGAAACCCTAAGCACTTCAAAGTGAATAACGTATAAGTGTAAATCAATAGAGTAACCGCATGATACTTTTCAAGGGTATTTGATGCCTTTGCAGATTCAATTCAGAAAGCTACCTTACAAACTCTCACTCATCCTTGTTGCAATTAATTTTTGAATGTGTGTACCTTGATGCTTATCCTTTGTACACTATATAGTTATTTACCTGTATAAATAAATAGTGACTAGTGATACTGAATGGAGATGGCATAGTGCTTTTAACACTAAGACTTTTGCAAAAGAGCAGTTTGTAGACTATGAAAAACTTCATCCAAGTCAGTCTTGTTTAAATGACAGCTGGCTGCCTCAGGGGTGGGGGAATTAAACATCTTTTATGGAGTATGTATTTGGAAATAAAATTCAAATGTAATAGTCAAATATTCATTTAAATTTTGTCCTGGAGAAGCTGCTTATGATATGGATAAGGTGACAAATGTAGGTTTGATCAATTGGCACTTTCTTGCTCAAGTCATCTGCCTCTTACCTACATCCCAGATCTTCTCTGCTTGGTCTGACAGCATAATTTTACTTCTTTTCATTTTTCTTAGCATTGTAGAATAGGTGTCATAACTTTTTAAATTAGATCTCAGCTAGTATTTGTTTTGCCTATTTATTTTATCAAATGCTGTTTAGTGTTATTTCATGTTTTTCAGCTGAGAAGAAATGAGACTCGCTTGTGTCATGTCTTTTGTCACTTTCACGAAGGAAAATTCTGGAAATCTCTGTCAAACTAAGAAAAAAATCACTACTATCTGGAACTAGCTGTTGGCTGGTCTGAATAATGATTTCAAATATAGTAGTTCAGGACTTCTTTGACTCTGCCTCTTTGAATTTATTCCCATCAAACATACATTGGATATAGCTATAAATGTAAAAAATTAAGATGATATTTTTGGCATTTACTATACATTCACTTAATTATTAAAACATTGCTTTGATCTGATTTCTATTTGTGAATAGAAATTTGTGTGTGATGACTACATCACACACGTGTGATTACTCTTGCAAAGGACATCCTCCAAACTCAACTGAACTCATGAAATACTTCAGTTGACTTAAATGGATTTGGTATAAAAGCCTGAAGAATGGCTTCCTCAGCGTAAAATGAAATGGAGAGTCAAAAAAGTGTGTAGTAATCCTATTGTAAAAGGAGCATTTTCACCTTTAGAATGCAATAAAGCAAAATATTTCTTTTAACACAATGATTCTGCAAAGCAGTATTGGAAAATATTGTCATGTGAGGATGAAAATTGTCTAATGGCATTTGTAAAGTAGAATTTTATAAATGTTTTGTGAAAAAAATACCAGGATTGTTTTTATTATTAACACCAGCACTTCTTAGCTAGTAATTCATGTTTGAATATTGATTTCCATTTTCTTTTTTAATGAAGAAACACTCCCTGTCTTTGTATATTCCATGCTGTTGCTAACCTAGATAGCGATTTTGATAAACTAAATGGAGATTAGAACAAACAACAGAGATCTTACTCAAAAATGTTTATTGTAAAAAAAGTGGCTAGAAAACAACATAACAAATTTCACTTCACGCTATCTTCAAGTTATCTATAGATGCAGCCATAGGTAACATTTTGCTTTCATTCATAACACATTCAATCATATAAAAATAAAAATATTTACATTATGTCCACATACTTTACAAAATCATTAATAAAAAAGGCACTTGGAGGGGAATTGCTGAACATATTGCATTTCCTTTGTGCATTAAAAAAAAATTAAAATTCATTGTCAAACTCCCATGTACCCCGTCTTTTGCACTTATTCCCGTTGAAAAAAAAGGTTAAAGTTTAGAGGAACTTTTCCATATTAAAAGCTGGGTCAAGCATGCACCAGGAATGTTTGAAGCTACAGTCTGTTTTTAAAGGCACATGCGGTTTGATCATGACAGTTGATTTTTCATACATTCTTTTTTGTGTTCTCTTGCCTCTTCTTTTAATTATTCACTTTTAAAGCATTTCAGGTCATCAGTAAAGCCCTTGGTTTTTAATAATAACGATAAAAGAACAACAACCAGTAATATTAGACATTTACTAAAGTAAACTTGGAATACTTTTTAAGGCACCTGAGATAAATGGTGTCTGGCAAAATGTAGTTGGGATAGGTTTCTTAATTATTATTACAGTTTCTTTTCAAATACTGTTCTTTGGTTGAAACGGCTTGGCAGGAATGTACTGTTAACTCTTTGTAGTAAGACTACATGCATTTGGCTTCATGTTTAAAGAAAGTAGACAGTGCTTCTTCCTTATGATCTGTTTGAAATGTCATGCATGGTTATTAGCATTTCAAAATTCATACGTAAGTGACTGAAAAGAAATACTTAAGCTCATTTGTGCTGACATTTTAAGTTCTTCCACTATTTTTTTGTTTGCTTTTGGTTGGGAAGTTGAAGAGAAAATGCTTTGGATTTCCATTTATCATTTGGAACAGGAGTGGAGAAACTCATTGAGCCCAGGTAAACATTGACTGCATGACTCAGTGTGCTACACAGCAGCCAGATTCCTCATGTTTGTGCAGAAGAGACATCCTAGAGAAAGTTTTGGAGCAATTTTTGCACTGGTATTTCTTCACATCTGAATGGGTCTGCAGATGAGCCCTCAGATTGGATCGGTCTGCGAATGCTCTGTTGCAGTGTGGACAGGAAAAAGGCTTCTCTCCTAGAAAAAGATATTTAAAAAATGTAAACATTAATAGGAAGAAATGCCATTGGGTAGAGGTACAATTGCATTTTACCTTAGGAAGCAAAACTGATTTATTTCAAGAAATGAAAAATATCTCAATAAGCTGAGCAGACTGCAACTATTACAGTCATGTAATTGCTGCCCGTCCTTAAAGATTTCAAACTTTCCAGCAAATGTGGCTTGGTGCTGTCATGAAAGGCAAGCTGCTGACGCTTTCTCTTTCAACAGGTGCAGCTAGTGCCTTTAGGTTGGGCTCCTCCCAATATTTTCAAATGTTCCCTCTGTTCATGTAACTTATCCTATGTTACGCCCAGAGCTGCATAAATTACTTAGGATAGGGGCTAGGAGAGGAAAGGCAGCAAGCAACTTTTCAAACACAACACTGCCCAGAGTTACACCTAAGACATGTTTTATCTTAACAGAAAAACTCTGGTAATGATCTGACCCTGTCTGTTTAAGGAATTTATGAAGACAGCAACATTGGTATTTACTGACTGCTGGGAGCAGTTTCCAAGAACTGACATTCACATGTAAAAGTTTGTTTTTTCTACCTGATTCTAGAGTTAAAGTAAGCCTTTCCCACAGACAGGACTTTGGCTTCTCCAAAGCCTGAGCATGATACTAAAATCACGTAGACGGAACTTTCAGCTGGTGTAAATCAGCAAAATTGATGTCAGTGGTGCTTACTGGATTTACACTAGCCAAAGATCTGGCCCACAAAGGCAAGATCCTGTGACAAAAATGGACGAGTTTTGTTCTTTAACTATGCTTTTCCAAGAGCCAGGAAATGACTGTATGAATCCTGATCACATTTAGGGATACCAATATTTACTTAAGACAAAAGTAAAAAAAATAATACCAAGCTGCATTCGCAAGTAAAAAAAAATGCTATATTTCTCATAGTTTTTCTTACCAGTGTGAGTTCTAATGTGTCCTTGAAGTAGCCAGGGTCTAGAGAAAGCCTTGCCACAGATCTTGCAGACACAAGGTAGCGTGTGGGTCCTGATGTGCATCTTAAGGGCTCCCAAGCTGACATACTCCTTGTCACAGTACTTACAGCTGAATGATTTCCTAGACTGGGCATCACAGTGCAGCTGCTTGTGTTTGGCCAACCCCGAGAAAGTTGAATAGGTCTTGTTGCATAAACTGCACTGAAACTTTTCAGCTTCAATTGCATGTGGATCTGAAAGCTTTGACTGGATTCTCTCTTCTTCATCGCTAATGGGACTTTCTGAACCACTGTGATCCTTGGATGAGGTGTCAGAGGGTGGAGGTGGGCTAACTCTTCCCAAGGATGAGGGGTATCCAGAGAGAGGAGAGAGGTCATTGGGTAATGGGGATGGTAGAAGCCCAGTTGTAGTCCAGACAGTAATGGGATTGTAAGCTACTGAGCTCAGGATCTCTGGTTGTGGTATTATAGGCACTGGATAGCTCTCATATAAGTATGGGGAGATTATCACTGAAGAAAAAGAAAGAAAAAAGTATTAAAATACCTGGAAAAATATAATAAAAGGCAATAAAAAAAATGGGTTAAAAAGTGCGTAAGTCTAAAAATATGAACACAGTTCAATCATGCATAGACAGGATTGTATTAGTAAAAATATACCTATACATATATATGGGTTATTTGTAAATATAAATACGCAAATTATACATATAAATTATACAATAGATACATCATATATGTCTGCAAAGTTGCATGCATGTATATGTGCATAAAGGGCATTTAAACGGAAATAGGGTTTAATATGGAAATATGGTCTATTCAGGGCAACATGCTTTTTTAAAAATTAATGTAGCCTAACACATTCAGCAGTGAAACTTTCAAACTGATCATTAGAATAGTATAAATCCCCATTTGAAACATACACAGAACAGGAAAAACATAAATCCAAAGAAGATAACTAAATAAAAATTGGTGAGCAAATTTTTAAAGTTGTTCTTGTTTTAGTCTGACCTCTTTCCTAAAAATCAGTCATTCTAGCCAAAGAGAAAAAGCTAGGAATGAACCAGATGAAGTATGAAAATCATTCTACTCCACTGTCAGGGACTAAGAACCACTTCAGCTTTAATTTTAAGTCATATACAATTTAATTGTATTACCTGTATGTGTGTCCAGTTCACTGTAATTGGGCTTCTTGGATGAATTGAAATGTTTCTTGACCAGGAAAGATCGTGGCATTTTGAATGCAGGATTTCTCCTTCTTTCAGAATCGCCTTTCACTTTGGAATAACGGTCCCCAGATCGTGTGCAGCACACAGAATCACTGCTAGCACATTGGTCCCTATAGCATTGTCTACTCTGCTCAGTCCATGCAGTGAAATTGTGTAGTGGCAGTGCAGAGGCTCCTTGAAAAGTGCTGTAAATACCCACTAGTCAGGTGCAGGTGGGAAGGGCCTTGGTTTTCCTTTCATCCAATCACTTATGAATTTGCTAGAGCACTTTTACAAACTCAGCCTGTTTTGCTGGGAGGGTTTTTGTGCTCTCTGCAGGAAAGCTCCAATCCCTGCTAGATTTGGTTCAGGTTTCAGCTCCTCCCACTGGGACAGCTGTGAACAGAGGAAGACTCTGTTGTCAAAGTGAATTATTCTGGTACAAAGTGGGTGTATGTTGTTCTTTAGAATTTCTGTCTAGAAAAATGCGTTGGTTAAAGGACTTTAAATAAGGGGGTCAATTCAGCTGTGTTTTTTCTTTTCGAACAGGGAGCTAGAGAAGTCTTGTGCACTGAAACTTCTCTGAAAAATGTCTGGTTCCCAGATGTTTGATAAAGCAAATACAATGGAACAAACTGTTCATTAAGGGCAGAAGGAGGGGGGATGATACAAGATAACAAGTTAGCTTGCAATGATAATAAGAGACTTTGGATAACTTGTGCCTGCTATGTTTGGAAACTGCACTTTGAAAAGTTTTAGTTGGGAAATGCTGTAAACTAACAGAGTATTTGACCTCCACCTTGTGAGTAATAGCTGCCAGGAATGGATAGTATATAGAAGCAGCAGCAGCAGCAGCAAATGGAAACACAGTATTTCAAAACAGAACTCTTGAGTTTTAAAAAACCAATAGATTCTGCATCATATTCTTAATGATAGGAATACCTTTTTTAAATTTTCAGCATCTTCAGATTGAAAGAACTGGACATTTCCTTCCTTGTGGAGACTGATATCATGTCACTCCTTTAACTATCCCAGCAAAATCCTTTAACTGTTACCAGCAAAATCCTACTAATTATCCAAAGACACTGAAAAGATGCATATATAACAAGCAATAACAAAAATGATAGTTAATATCCATCCCTATTAGGAATATTTCCCCATTTGGATTTTTCAGTAGCTTCATGTAAAGATATAATCTTTGCTGTGCATTTTGTTCCAGATAAAAGATTCTAAGTCTTCTAAATGTCTCAGAATTTGTCAATTACTTGACAAATAGGTTTAGAAAATCCACTGAGTTACATATATGTTTAAAATATAAAATAACTATGTAAAAAAAAAACCTGGAAAAAAGCCTAGACTTTCTAGACAATTGAAGAGTTGAAAACCCTTCCAAACTGGATTGCTTTATAAATTTTATGGTTAATTTAAAATCTATCCTCTATAATTTTGCCAGAGAATGCAATATACACATTTACACACATCCGGCTTAGTTGCTATCTTCACACATCATATATGTATATTTATGTGTATGTGCATATGCATATATACCTATACACACATATGCATATACTTATGTAGATGCCAACACTTAGTTTTAAAAGGGAGGAGGGGTACAAGGAAGTTACATAGAGACCACCCCAGCCTTTTTTGCAACAGGTGTTGGAGTGGAGACATGAAAAAAATCCCTGTGGTTCTGTTAAGACTTGTAAGAGTAAAGTGCTTTGTCAAGCTGCAAGACTTCTTAATCTTGGAGATGCCAAAACAAGTGCAGAGAAAAAGTTAGCTATTTTCAAGAACTGATTTAAAAGATTCAGCTGTTAACAGAGTTCAACTCCAGTGTCTATCAGGGAAAGTGAACACATGTATTCTGAACCTGTAGGGAACACATCTACTCTAAAGAGAAAAGGAAAAGAATGACACCAAAAAACAAGGAGAAATGTTCAGGTTTCCCTAGGACTTCACATAACTTATCTAATGTGGTTGGAAAAGGTTTCTGTGACTAGTTCAAGGCAGGAGTGTAGGTATAGGTTATGATCTTGTATTTAGATGAGGTACAACACCCGGTAATATAGACAAGCCATCACATTTCTTCCTTTGATTTTGTAGAAAAAGATAAATTCCTTTTTTTTTAGATTTTTTTTTTTTACAGAGACCATGAATATGATGGAAAAGCTCTCGGAAAATATTTTCAGCTGTGTTCTGTCTGAGACATTTGCTTGCCTTGTAAGAATACTGCAAGAATATCTGGTATAGCTGATACAAAATATTATTTTAAGTATATCTGGCCTTTTATAGAAACTATGGTCCAGATCCTCAGCTGGTTTAAATTGGTATAGCAGTATCAGAGTGAATGGAGCGATGAAAATTTTCACCAACTCAGAATCTGATCTAATATCGTTTAAAGAACCAGGGACTTGATTTACCACTGAATTATTCTAATTTTTAGTGGAGATGCATCGGTTTAACAAAGGTTTAAAGCAGTATAAAAAGAGCACATTAATATAAATCACAAAATGTTGACAAGAGAGCTCAGTAACTGGACTGCTTGAATGACACTTTGATTGGGGGTAAGGCATGTTATTACATGGTTCTGAAAAGATAATAGCCCATGTACTACCTGAGTGAGGTCTGCTGTCAAAAAAAGGGAGAGTCTGCATGAGGATGGGGTGAGTCAGAGTAAACAGGTGTCCTGTATGTTTATAGCCAATATGGATGATGATAGGGCACTTGTAGACAGCCAGCATGGCTATGCAAGGAAGCTAAAGGAGCTAAAGGAAATACAAAGTCTGAGTAAAAGTCACAGCTAAGACAGAAAATATCCTTTTCTTCTGGAAGCTGGAGGCTCCAGTCTTCTGGAGTGAGATAAGTGGTTTCTATGGGTCGCACTGATTGACTTTTCAATGGGAAGAAAAACATAATGCCCACTTCCATGAAATTAGGGTTAGAACTTCCCTTTAACATTTCAGAGTTAATGATTGCCTTAATTCTGTTTCATTGTTAAAAACTGTAGTTTTTGGAGACCTGAATGAAGTTATATGATTAATGTATTGTCATTATCACTGTGCTAACATTCCATTGCTTGCAGCTTTGTATATTCTTTGCACAAACAAAAGATTTTGGCCAAGCATTTAAAAAATAGGAGCCTATGTCTGTTCTTACATCCATGTTTAGGCATAACTGGGCACATCTACACATGCGCCTGACTGTAGTTGTTATTGCTAAAGCAAGTATTAAATTACTGTGCAGTAATGGGAGTTACTGTGGCACATAGGCTGTTTCTGACCCTACTGCACAGTAGCTTCGGCATCATGGCTCGTGCCTGCCAACACAATGTTGCCTTGTGGATGCGCCTGCTGTGCGTCTAAATAAGGCTTTAGGAGCCTTACCTTAGTTCTTGAAAATCTTGATCAGAGTCCTTTTATCCACTATGAACACATGAAGCAGACATGCAAAACATTTTCATACTTAGCAGCTTGAGGAATTCTGGGATTCATGCATGGATGTCAAGCTTGCTGGGAACCAATGCAACTTTATATACTTAATTTTTGCAAGTAAGTTACTAGCACTACCATATGAAAGAAGCCTGGGGGAAAAAGCAACCTACAGCACAACTCCTTAGAAATTTATTCTCTTTCTAAGCATCAATTATTAGCAAGAGTATGGATTGGAAAATAACAATTAGCTGTGTGAAATATGACAGCAGCAACAAAACTAATCGTTAAATCTTCAAAATAAACTGTTGCATGTCAGTTCAGAGCTTCTGAAGCAAATTATTTTTTCTCTGATAACAGACCCAGTACTGCAAAGTGCTGAATACTTCTCCAGGATCCTCAAATTTGACAAAAGTCAATATTGCATGGTATTAAGCAACTTCCCAGAAGCACTCAACAGTTTCTAGGATCAGGCCCAGCAGTGTGATAGTACTGTAGCTTTACTGATGCAGGTGCTATCCTCCATCACAAAGAAGTTTAAAAGTAACAGTAACTAACTGGTAAATTTGTTTTGATTGCCTTTTATAAACCTTTTCAAATTCTTATGAAAACTCTGAAACTGATATGAAAAAAATATACAACATTGTGTAGCTGATGAGTCCTCTGTTAGCTGAAAATATGATCAGTTTTCAAAAGCCAGTTGAACTAGAGAACATATCCATGGAACTTCATAAGTAAACTGTTCCTTCATATTTCTCCTGTAGCCACAGCATTTATATTCTGGGAAAGAAAAGTGGTCTTGGAAGTAATAAATGTGAGGAGTGCCCAGCTGTTATCAGACTGTGAGAAATAATTCTAAGATTAGCAGAGCTATATTTATAGCTAAAGAAAATAGTTTTAAAAAGGCTCCAACACCTCAAGACATTTTTAGAAACACATTTTAAAGATAACTTTATTTTTCATTTGTGTGTTACATTATATTTCCAAGTTCTGGCCTGGTCTGTAGGCAGAAACTCAGCAGCATGCAAAGCAGCATGTCAGTGAAGAATGTCAAAGTCAGTTTGAACTGTAGAAATTGAGGATGGATGCTATTCTAAACTGACTCCCAACCTCTTGAAGATAGCTTATCACTAGCTGAAACTCTCTTAAGGCAATGTTTTCTATTACAAATGGATCTGAGCTGTCAAGTTCTGTTCCACAACATGACCCAAATGTTCAAAAGTGTTTAGAAACTTCCCATTATAGAAATAAGACTATACTGCAAACTTTCAATCTAGGATTCCCTTGTTTAGAGCAGTTCAGATTTGTGCTTTCTGATGAGGGCTCTTCCAAAGATAGGGGCTGAACTATAAAACTCAGATCCAAGTCTCGGCTTTCAAAAGCTTCAAGAGGCTTTGAGTCTGGGGTTTTGTTTCAAGCCTCCAATTTTATACACTCCCCCCCCGCCAGTGATTTCTTAAAAGACACCTATCTTTCTTAATAAGATGTGTTGTTAGCACTCTATTGATTCAGTTTGTAACAAGTAGTTCAAAAGGGACAGCTGCATTTGTTCATTTATACCTGATTGACATTACTGACTTTAGATGGTATAAATTAGAGCACAATTTAATCCTTAATGAATAAGCTAGCAAGAGTTCAGTTATCCTAAACTGTTGTTTTTACATAAAGATATATCTAGCAATTGACCAGATTCTGCTTTTATTCCCATTCATGCAAACCTGCAGGAACTCCACTGGCTGTAACGGACTAATTTCAGGTGTACTCAGATGCAACTGAGATCAAATGCTAGCCCAATAACTTCAAATGCAGTCCATATCTGTAAAACTGTAACAAGTATTCATTAAACAAAGTGTACTAC